TCCCCACCCAGAGAGTGACCCAGCCCAATGTGAACAGCACCAAGAAATCCTGCCCTAGACTAAATAGGCCACGTATATATTCCTCCTGGCATGGAACAAGGTTAACAGCCATCTGCCTCCACTGGTTGCCTTAGGTGGGGCCCCACTAGGTGGAGACAAAGCTTTCGAGGTCCAGGTGGAGAAAGCCCTGAGGTTATCTCTACTTCCTCCAGGCTCTCATCAGATGAAGGATGAGACACCCTTCCGCCTCAAGAGGCCCCAAGAGACACTGGCCTCTGTGCCCTCAGTTGGTACTGTTTCGTGGGCTGGGGCTTCAGGACCAGGGAGAAGGAGACCCTGTTGGAGGTGGAGGCCGTCACCATGCAAGGCAGCCAGGGCAGAGGGGAGTACCCACAGAGCTGCTCAGCGTCACTGCAGTGCTGACAGCCTCTTACACAGCAACAGCAGGGCTCAGTCCTGAGAGCTCCAGGTCTGCGCTTTCACTTGGACTGAGTGACCCTGCCCTTGCAACTTGGGCAGATCAGACCCCCTTGTCAAACCTTCAAGGTGGCTGCAACGGCATGGCCTTTCGTTGTCCTCCCAATGTCTATCCCTTCCATTTTCCTTGCCAGTTTGGGTTGGGTCCACGCCGCTCCCATGTGCCCTAAGCTCAGGGTAAAACTTGATGGATCTAAGCCAGCTAGCCTGGCCCCATTCCCCTAGGCTGTGCCCAGTTTGGAGTGGGTGGTGTGGGATGTAGGCTGGACAGGAAGCCATGAGGGGCAGCTGGCACGAGAAGGCACATGGAGAACTTACATAGAACATACTTTGCAGCACTGGTTTAACAGAAGAAAATTGGAAATAACGTGATGGTTTAAAATAAGTCCACAAATTCTTTGATACTTCTTCCTTCAAAAGGTGTGGCCTAATCCTTTCCCTGCGAGTGTGGGCTAGATTGATTCACTTCAAACTAACGGAACGTGGCAGAAATTATGCCATGTGATGTGTGAGTCTAGGCCATAACAAGGATAGCTTCTACCTGGTTCGTTCTCTCTCTCTCTCTCTCTCTCTCTCTCTCTCTCTCTCTCACACACACACACACACACACCCTGTTGTCAACCAAACCCAGCGTGGAGAGTCTTCTTCCAATTTCCCCAGAGAACCTGCAGTCTCCTTTCTATGTGAAATCATGCAAGTTTTAAAACCAGTGCCAAATTCAGATTATGTGGGACAAATGATACCTGCCTCCACTTTATGACCTCTGCTTTATTTTTTAAAAAGTTTAAACAAGAAAGGATATTGTAGATACATTTCATAATTAAAAGGTATAGTATATACTGAACTAGTTGGAGGAGCTCACCATTTCGACTGGTTTTAGTCAATGAAGACGGATCTGGGGTTTTTTATTGTGTCAGTACCAATTTTTGTTTTCATTATAGCTCTAAGTTGTTCAGACAGCTTATTCATCAAAGCCAAGTAATGCTGTTTAACTCCGAACAAAATTAGGGAGCTTTCACAAATTATAGAGTTTTTGTTTGTTTCTTTTGTCTTTCCTTTTTGCATGTCTTTTTCTATGTCTGTGATGCCTTAAATCTGAAGTGTGCTGTTTACTCATATTCTTTAGAATCTTGGTAGGAAAAGGTTTGGGCACCACCCAACGTCTAATTGGTTGGTAATTGTTCCCTTTTTTTGTCCCTTGTACCAAGGTATCAGCCACAAACTGGCAACTAAAATTCTCTGCCTGTTCTTTCTCTTATACTTGTGTTATATGATAATTTTAAGGTTGCCAATTTCTTTTAGCTGGAAACTTCATTTGTAAATATTTTGGGGAATGGGATTTTTTTTTTTGTAGATATTTTTCTTTGGCAGATGTTTTCCCCCCTAAAGATAGGTTATATGTGTGGCACATCACTGCCCATTTGCTTTTTTAAGTTAACGATTCAAGTCACTTATTTGTCACTGTTGACTAAAAATTGAGAATTGCTTCACTTTGATTCTGTAGCATTTTTGTATTTTGGAAAGTCAGTTCTGTTGACTGAGGATAACTCCTTGATGAGGTTTGCTCTCTGGGAGCACAATAAGCTATAACATCTAAGACCCTTGGAATGAATGTTTTAAAAAGGCATTGGCTTTTAAAATATTGAATGTCATTGGTTGAATCCATGGTTGGTGGTTCGATGTCTGTGGCATTTGCTCATGGGAACCTCAGGTTGGCCGTCTACCCCTGCTTCCCATTGTTGACACCAGAGAGGCACGTGTTAGACCTGCGTAGATGTGGCCGTGGCGATTTTTCTGACCATTAAAACAGCAGGAGAGGCTGGAACCATAGATGACCCCTCACTGTTCCCGAAATGTTGGCCTCTCACCAGTTTTTCACAGCATTAAAAAGGCACGGCTGTATTGTTCCTGGTTGGAAATTGTTTCACTGCTTTTAGGAGTACTTGTACCTAATGCTTTCTCTTTAGCTTAACCATTAACCAGCATAATGTCATCAAGACGGTGTTCTTAGCACCTGATAGGCAGGGCAAAGCATGTAGCGCCCCTCTGTGTGGGGGCCATATTCCTGTACAGAAGAAGGGCGGAAGAGAACTGCAGGCGTTCCCCTGCCCAACAGAATCTGGCTCACCCTCGAGGCTCAGGAACCCCACCACCACCACCACCAGTCCCTGGGGAATGCCGAGCAGCCGAGTGACTTTGTCTCCAGGAGCTGAGCAGCCCTGATTTGGAGCCGGAGACTCCTGCCTACATTTTAAAGAAGGTTGCATGTGGGAGTGGGGGCAGAAATCCTGTCATCTTCTCAAGAGCCCAAGGATTTATTTCATCGAACCCCTTTCCAGTATGTCAGGATGTTTTCCAGACTCTGGATCTGTAATGGGCTTTTCACATGGAGAATACACATGGGCTTTCGTGGTTAAGAAAATAAAATTTGCTTTAAAAAAACATCAGAATTGTTATGGATATTTTGAATATAAAACCCTTGTGAACCAAAGTGTTAAATGAAATCATCGCAGGGTGTGTATGTATGTATGTATGTGTGTGTATACACATAAGGTAATTAAATGTGATTTTATTGCCAATAAAATGGATTTGAAAACTTCCTCCCTGATGGATGTCTTTAGTGACCATATTAGCAGTGGGTATTGCACTTCACAATGCACCATCTAAGCTCTTGATGTTACCTCACCCTGTGAGTCTCAGATGCTCCTGGAAAACCAAGGTCAAGATGCTGGAGCAGAGCTTTTCTCTCAGCGCTGCGGGATAGGTGACCTCCGATGTTGAGATTTGTAACTGCTCAGCACTCAGACTTGATCTCAGTATAGCTTAGTTTACACCACCTGGGGGAGTGTTAGGGGGAGGAGTGACAAGTAGGTGAAGAGCTCGCTGCTTAAGGGGAGGCTTTACCAGGATTAAATTTGTGACTCGATTTCTCTTCCTTGACCACCAGTTTCAACTGCTCGGTCTCGGTCACAGGTTGAAAATGGGCAACCTGAAGACCATGTTTGATTCTCACACCAGCTTTCTTTGGCCTTTGCGAAGGGTGTTTTGCTTGCTTTATTTGAATTAGTCACCAGCATTTAAAAATTGGGAGGGCCGGCCGAGTGGCGCGTTGGTTAAGAGCTGGCTTGGGACGCCAGAGGGCCCCGGTTCGGATCCCACATATGAGGGCAGTGACACTGCCCTCTACAGCTAAGATGCTGAACAACAGCTCAACCTGGAGCTGGGCTGCCGTGAGCCGCCTGCAACGGCATAGGCTGCAGCCCCTGCTGCAGTGGGTTGCCATGGGCTACTGTGTGTAGCCAGCAGCCGCAGNGGGAAGAGCGCAATGATGGTGCCAACTTGGGCCAGTGAAGCAACGTCCTCCACAACTAGACTGAAGAACAAAAAGACAGCAATTTGTCTGTCCCCCTTCCTCCAATTCCTCAGCGCTGTTCCCATCTCCCAATACCCCAATAAAAAAAATTGTAATACTCAATCTATACCAATAACAAAAGATGAATACAAGTTTTGTGGATACATTTTTTTGGCACCTCCAGTATATAAATGTCTACCAATAGGAAACTAGGTGAATGACTTGCGATACATTCAAGCAAATAAGTAGTCAGCCTTTACGTTTGGGAAGCTCAGGGCAAAAGTACAAATGAAAGTCTGCATACCATATGTCTAAATATTCTAACACTAGGCTCCCCTTACCTGACGGGGATATGCTCCAGAACTTTCTTATATGATGATCCTTATTGGTATTGGGCTGAAATCTTTGATGATACCTTCCCAACAAATAGGCTTTTAAATTTGAGGACTATCTACTGGTGGCTGATATTTAGCAGAGCGTGGAGCACTGAGGTCAGAAAGATCCCAAGCACTAGACATGTGCCACTGATCTTCAGAGAGTTTTCTCAGCTAGACAATGAGGACAGATGGACCGGTGGATGGACGGATGGTGCTGGCATCTTCTCTACAGGTGGTAAGGCATGAATGAGGGGATGTAGACAGAGGCCTCAGAGCTGTGCTTCCTACAGAGCAAGCCATCAGTAGAAGCTGGTTCTCGTTAGTAAAGAGTTTTTCGTTTAGTGGTAACTAATCATATTTTAATAATCGGGTGGGTCCACTTGTTCTTTGGTTTAAAAATGCCGTTAAAGTCCAACTTTCTTTGTGGAATCATGGTGTTGAGAAAAGGACTGCCGCCCATGTGGGTGAGCTGAAAAGTCTTCACATGGGTTCAGGCCTGACTTTGCCACTCTCCGTGCCTGAGTTTCCTCTTCTGTAAAATGGGGACAAGGATGGTCCCTACTTCACAGCATTGTTGGGAGATTGCGTTCATTCATGAAGAGCGCTTAGAACTGTGCCTCTGCTCATCGGAAGGTCTCAGCAAGTGTTAGCAGCTACATCGGACGCATGAGATGCCTATGAGTAGGCATCGGACGCACTGATGGTGGTGTCTGCTGGGATTGACGTGCTCATCTCAAGTTCTACGCAGAGCTCCATCTAATTCAGCCGGGTTTTTGTGTTTGTTGTGGTTCTAGCACCCAGCTTCCCATGGCTTTTCCCCTCCCTGCTGCTGGAACCAGCTTCGCCTCACAAACTGCACTTGGAATGGTCCCCACCGTGACCCCACCGTTTCCCCCCACGGCCATGCAGCCACCCAGGACCGGCAGCCCAGCAGGGTATGGCGGGTACCAGCCCCACTCCATCCAGGACTTTGATTATGGCAGTGGACCCCTGGACCCCGTCCCTGCACCTACCACTGTTCCCTCCTACCAGGTATCAGCCGGCCTTTTTCTGACCAGCACCTACCCTTCCTTGAAAACATGGATGGTGTTAAGTGGAAGAGTGTGGTGGGCAGCCTGTCCTAGCAGACAGTCCAGGACACACCCCCACCCTCCTCGTGCTGTCATCCCTGCCTGTATTGATGATTGGGGACAGGTTTGTCCTTGTTGGCCCTTTCGGTATAGAGATGCTACTTTCCCCACCTTGGAGCTCGGAGCTACAGATTTGGCTGCTGTGTTTCCACATGGAATTGCCAAGCACCCCACACTGCACTTGGTCTCCCCCAAGCCTCTGCCACCCACAGGTTGCCCCTGAGTGGGTCAGTAAATGGCACCACAGGCCACCTGGTTAGCCAAGCTCTACCAGCTGGCTCCGCCCCCTTCCTCCCTCCATCATCACCATTGCTTTCCTAAGGCCTCCTAGTTGTCCCTCCAAACCTACCCTCCTGCACTCCTGCCTCCTCCCAGGGCCTCTCCCTGTGCTCGTTGCTTTTGTCCTTGCTTCCATGTAGTCCTTGATCCACTCAACAGCCCGAATCCCCCTGTGAACCACAATCCAGCCATGCTCCCCACTGCCCTTGGCACAGAATCCAGCGAGCCCCCTGGACACACCTCACCTTTCTCCCTGCTCTCTGTGTCTCTCCCGCGGAAACCCTCTTGCAGGACAGTTATGGCTACAGACCATCGACAGCAGCCAGTAGCTACGAGAACCAACAGTATCCCCTGCCTGCTGTGGATCAGCCTCAGCTACCTGCCACGGCCACGATCTGCCAGCCAGGTAGGTGTCTGCAGTCAGAGGGTGGGAGCAAGGGCATGGGAGTCACTGCATGAAAGTCATATCTAGACATTCCAGAGTCATGGGAGATCTGGGAGTAACGTGAGTGTCAGGGCTGTCTTCTCAGATCTGCCTGACATCTCAACTAGGTGGTGGGCTTGTATGTGAGAGAAACGGACAGACACACACACACAGACAGACACACAGAGAGAACTAAAAACTGAGCTGATAGTGTTTTCCAAGGAAGCTTTCCCAGGGTGGAAGGGGGTACGTTCTGCTGAGGACTTGCATCTTAGAAATGAAAGAGGTAAGGAACACATTGAATACACATACACCTTTTCACACGCATGACACAGAGGAAGAAGAACAGCCTGGAAAGGAATGGTGGGCACAGGTCACACATGAATCTCAGCTAGGATCCGAGCTCTGGACCAGAGGCCGGGGCTCCAGCCTCCAGTCGAGGCTTAGACATCCAGGGGGCCCATGGCCAGTCGCACTGGGGCCTTCCACAAGTGGGGGCCCAAATTGGCTCCGGCAGCTGGGGAGGCTGGTTGTGGTCACAGGAAGTGTGGTTCTCACTCTCTGCTCCCTGGGGATGGTGGTGAAGTGTGACTCTTCAGAGGACCACTGATTGCTTTTCAGGGACCAAAGGAGCTTACTGCCAGCCCAGCGGTGGGTACGGCCAAGGGCAATCCCCACAACAAGCACCCACTACTGGGGCGGTGCAGCCAGCCAGTGCCCCATCCTCCAGTTACACCTACGCCCCAGTGACCAGCGTCCAGCCCGCGGCCTCCTTGTCCACCCTGCCTTCCTACACCCCATCCTCATCCTCCTACAGCTTCGCCTCCACCTCGGACACAGGTAAGCCGGCGGTTTCCCGGAGCAGGCATGTGAGCAAAGCCTATTTATTATTTTGTCTGCACCCGAAATAAACATTGCCCTCAAAACCAACGCATCTCCCTCTCTTATTCTCTCTGCTTCTTAGGACCAGGGTACCCGAGCTATGACACGTGGATGTACTCAGGAGCCGGTCCTTACTACCCTCCACTGCTCCCCCCACAGATGCAGGCTCCGCCCCCGCTGCCTCCACTCCCAAAGCCTGTGGACTCGTTCCCGTGGGACAGCTCAGGGAGCAGCCCCAGTGCCAGTTCTGCTGGCAGCTTCGCCAGGAAGCCACCAGTTCCCACCAAACACAAGGGCAGGCCCAGGCAGTCCCCACTTCACTACTGTGACATCTGCAAGATCAGCTGTGCCGGTCCCCAGGTCAGCACCCTGTGCCCCATGCTGAGCAGGCCTCCCCACTGGATGGTAGAGCCCCCTTGTCCCCTGTGGCCAACCAGAGGTTTGGCACGTAGCCTGCCCAAAAGAGTCCTGTTGTTAAACTTGCGATGTCAAGCGTGCGTCAGAATTGCCTGAAGATTGCCTTGCTGGTGTTTGAGTGGAAGAAACGAGACCAGCGCAGTGCTGATTGTTGGCTGCAGAAGCGTGGCCTTGAACCTAGGGCGAGGGGGTCTTCTCTTGAGTTGGCGTAGGAGAGGTGTCCCCTCCTCGAGCAGCGAGAGCCCAGCAGACGTGGCCAGCTGTGATGTGCCTTTGTGGGCACGGGTGCGTGAGTGAGTGTGTGTGCATGTTGTCCAAGTGGATGGCTTGTGGGCTCACAGCCCAGCCCCCCTAAGCTATCACCTCAGCAGGTGTCACAGCCTCTCTGAGCCTCAGTCTCCCATGGGACAGCGTTTGCCGAGTGTCACCACTCAGCATAGCAACTGGCACGTAGAAACATCCATTTCTCTTATTCCCAGTTTTGTTAATGTTAATAGCACTTTTTACGTTGGAGTTTTTATTGAGATAGTTGTAGGTTCACATGCAGTGGTAACAAGTAATGCAGAGAGGTCCCGTGTACCCTTCCCCCAGCTTCCCCCAATGCTAACATTTTGTGAATTGTAACCAGGGTATTGACATTGACACAGTGTGTCCTTATTCAGATGTCCCAGCTTTATTGTGCTCATTTGTACGCACATGTGCATGCGTGTGTGTTTTGTTCTGTGTGAACTTATCACCTGGTGGACTTGTGAGTCCGCCACCACTGCCAAGATCCTGAGCGCTTCCAGCACCACATGGTCCATCTTGCTGCCCTTTCTACCCACCCCCCACCTGGCTGCCCCGCCCCCAATGCTGTCTCACATCCTGTGAATGTTGAAACAGTCACACAGGGTCTCCATCTGTGTCTGGAAGGGACTGTGTCAGCATGGCCACCCTGTAGCCCGGCTGGCAACACTTCTGCATTTTCTCTGGGTGTCCATCTAAGCTTGCTCTGTAAGTCAAGGCCAGCACAGTTGACAGTATAGCCTCCACTCTAGGACGGGGGTCAGGAGGGCGGCCTCGCGCTTCAGCGGGAGCCCTTGACGATGCAGGAGCACCAGGCGGCCTCTCTAACACTTCTCCCCGGTTGTCTCTCATTACACATTTAATGTATATTTATTCTGGGAATCAGGTGCAAGGATGACAAAAATTGCAACACTTGCTCTTACTCTGAGTACTCTACGAAGCATTTCTGTATTTCATGCTTCTAACTGCATCGTTACCATCCCCATGTGGCAGGTGAAAACCTGGGGCTCAGAGAGAGTCAGTAACCTGAGGAACTTAGAATAGTTTTAGAGATGAAGATAGAAATCAGATTTTTCGAGGTTTGTCAAAGCTGTGTGGTTAACTACGACCATGTGTGCCAAGAAGCAGGCGAGAACTGCCTCTAATCGCTCCACCTGAAGTAGTTTACAGTCGATGTCTTGGTGTATATCCTTCCAGTCTATTCTGTGCCCCATAGGCTTTTACTGAGTCTGAGTGTGTGTGTGTGTGTGTGTGTGTGTGTGTGTACGTGTATGTACGTATGTGTGTACGTACGTGTGTACGTGTACGCGCATGCGGGCGTACTCCGTTGCTTAGGTAAAATGCTCACAAGATTCCCACATTCCAGCGAATACCCCTCCACTCCTGCCCCTGCCTCCAGTCCGCCCCCAGAACCAGCTGGTGTTGTCAGTCCCTTGTGTATTTTCCAGAGGTATTTTTATTCCACAAATGTTAGCTCTTGGCACAGTCAGAATGCGTTGGTTTAGTGGGCCTACTTTATGTGTGTTTGCTGCAGCTTGCCTTGTCTTTAGGGTTCCAGGAGAGGAGCCTGGGACACCACACAAGAGCTTGGTCATTTGTCAGACGCAATCAGATGTTTTGGGCCCCGTTGGTGCAGGATGCAGAGGCCTGTGACCCACGGTTGCCCCTCTTGTGTTGAGCCCCGCGGTTTATTAGTGGTGTTTTGACAAGAAAGTGTAGTGTGTCTTTGCTTGGTTTCTGAGGTCAGATTCAGAAAATCCAGAATTTTCTTTCACAGTAGACCCCAAAACTAACTGTGTGATCCTTTAAGGATGCAGGCTTAAGAAATTCATTGATTTTTTTTTTTTGCTGACCTTCATTTTTCCTTAAATATAGTGATCTTTTAAGAGAATAAACCAAAAAAACCCCAAAACTTTACACAGCAAATATTTTACATAAATGTAAACATGCACATCTATTTTATAATTAAGCAAATAAACTTTTAAGCACAAAAAATTTTAAATCACTAACGAATGAGACAATCAACCCAAGACAAATAAGCAGAAGCAACAAAAACACACATTTCATAAAGCTTCAATTGGTCTTGTCCTCTAACCTACTGGTTAAGGCCTGAGTTTCAGAAATCCTGCCTTCCTTGCTGAATGGAAACATCCAGTTTGGCTGTACCTAATATGTTGCACATAAAGAGTATTACTCTTGGCCTTGAGCCGCTTTTCTTTGTGCTCAGCCCACTCCTAATTCTTTGGAATATACTATCTCTTCTAATAAACGTCTCTTTCACCACTAAAAAAAAAAAGAGTATCACTCTTTCAAAATCATGTAATAGATACATCTCTCTCTCTCTCTCTCTCTCTCTCTCTCTCTCTCTCTCACACACACACACACACACACACACACACACACACACACAC